ATCTGGACATCACTTGTGTATTCACTCTCCTTCCTTTTTCCACCATTGGTTACTGTTCCCTGCACTTCCCAGCACAGCCACAGGAATCACTTTAAAACTCACTGAGCTTCGGTTTCCTCGCTTGGAAGCCAGAGGTAGTAGCCACCTTACAGAGTTATTTCGAGAATCAGGTATCATTTATGTAGGGCGCCTACCACAGCTTAGTTAACAGTGGCTGTGAGGATTAATTAAGTGCCACACAAATCTTATTTTGACTATAGCTACAGAAAACATGGTACTGTCTAAGCTCTCCAAGGTTGTGAAGCTTTCTGATAGGCACTGCCTCCTTTGGCAACGGCAGACCAGTTTTTCACGAGCAAACGGGGGCAAAAGCCCTCTTTCATACTTTGTGTAATTAGAGAGGCACAGGACATAAGCTGGAGTAGGAGAGAGTGCCAGAAGTTGCCTAAGTGGATGAAACGCACAAAGAACAGTTGAACATTTTCTGGGCCCTGGTGATGCGAATTAAAGAATACATCTTACAGACTGAAGAATAATTATGGTTAACTTAGGTAAGGTCCAATCCCTGGATTTTTTCACCTTTGATTTATAAACATTAATTTCCTTGGTTCAATCTCCTACCGAAACCAACGAAACAAGAGTCCAGGCATTCCTCGAGTCTCTGAAGCAGAACGGTCAAGGTTTCTAGCCCACCCCAATCATTAACCACACGGCTCCCAGTACAGCCTGTCCTGGCCATGAAATGACAAGGGGCAACTTTCAAGAATCCCAGGATACTTCTGAGGCAGCTTGTTTTTTAAACGCTTGCACCCTCCGCTTACGTCGTCACATTCCCTTCTAGACGTGGCCATTTCCAAAGGTACTGCTTCTACGTTAGTCCTTTTCTCTTCCATGCTGGCAGCATGAGGGGAAGAAAGCACTATACTCACTTTTTAGTGGATGTAGGTACTGGTGGGTTTCTGCTCATCTCGCTTTCCTGTTTTTACCAAACCTTCTCTATTTTCCCAGCTCTCTAAACAAGCCAGGAATGTGTATGTGTGTCTATGAGAGAATGGTGATAATAAGGACAAGATGGAGTGTTAAAAGACAGAATACTAACTAGGGGGATCAGGACAGAGAAATCAGAGTGAATAAAAGAGAATACTTCTGGGGTGCCTGGGTGGCTCACTTGGTTAAGCAGCCAACTTCGGCTCAGGTCATGGTCTCATGGTTCACGAGTTCAAGCCCTGCACCGGGCTCTGTGCTGACACCTCAGAGCCTGGAGCCTGCTTCACATTCTAGGTCTTTCTCTCTCTCTCTCTACTCTCTCTCTCTTTCTCTCTCTCTGCTCCTTCCCTGCTTGTGCACCCTATCTCAAAATAAATATTTACCAAAAAAACCAGTATTACCAACAAAATACGAGAGGTTTGCTAATAAGGCAGAAATCCCAAGTCTCCAAACCTCCTTCCTGACTTCCCAAGTGACCAGAACTTAGCTTCTAAGAATGATGTCGGTGATAACTAGAAGAAAGAGCAAGAAATACAAGCCACCTTAGTTTTAAAGACCGATGATAATTAGGTCACCCTACAAGAGACCAGAGACCACAGTTCTGGCACAAACAGGCCACTGGGCTGAAAAAAATCCAGTTTCCTGGTGTTTCTTCCAGTATACAGACATAGCATGCCCAGGTGTTGTGAGATGTGCCATCCATCCTTAGTGCTAAGATCCCTGTAAGCAGGGACAGTGCCTGTCGGGTTCACCACTTTGCCTCACCTTCTACGACAATGCCTGCTATTCTGGAAATGCCTGTTGAACACATAATTCTCCATCACTTCACCTCTTTGGGCCCATAACCCTCATCTATAAAACGAGGCAGGGAGACCAGCTCACCTCTAAGGCATATGGTTCTGGGACTCTGTCGAGCCAACACTGCAGTGTGACCAAACCCACTCTTCACAACTAGGCCGTCATCATTTAAGTGTATTTATTTTGAGAGAGAGAGAGAGAGCATGCACACATGCACAAGCAGGGGAAAGGCACAGAAAGAATCCCAAGCAGACTCTGCACTAAGAGCACAGAGCCCGACATGGGTACGTGATCTCACAAACCATGAGATCATGACCTGAACTGAAATCAAGAGTCGGATGCTTAACCAACTCAGCCACCCAGGTGCCCATCGGCCATCATCATTTAATGAAAAAAGCAAGCAGGAGACACAGACGATTCTCTGCTATCAATTTTATTTCCACTTGTCATTTATTATCTGCAAATAGTTTATGATTCTCGAATCCCAAGTACCAGCTTTCACTTTAACTGAGTTTAATATAGTTTAACATAGCTATGTTGTGACTTTTTGCTGTACCTCACACTGGCTGTGTTCCAATTTTAGATTTCAAAGGGCAGCGTGATTAATGTGTGCCCTACACCCCCAGGGGACTCACAAACTTCTCCACCGGCCTCCTCATCGTTAATCCCACATCTCTCCCGGTTGTGAGGCTATGCAGGTCCCCAGAAACACAGACATCCACTCAGTCTGCCAGGCACAAAAACATACGAAGATTATTCCCCAAGCTGGAACGAGGTTAAATGAGCACAAAGATCTAATAATCCTACAGAACAGCAACCTGCCTTCAAGCAGTTCTCACCATACCAGAGTAACGCTCCAAAGAATTAATGACATAGTGTATCTCCCCACTTTAAGTAATTTAGAAGTTTATAAAAAAAATTATTCGGGGTGGTGGGGGGCGCTTGGGTGGCTCAGTCAGTTAAGCATCCGACTTCGGCTCAGGTCATAATCTCACAGTTTGTGAGTTGGAGCCCCGCATCGGGCTCTGTGCTGACAGCTCAGAGCCTGGAGCCTGCTTTGGATTCTGTGTCTCCCTGTCTCTCTGCCCCTGTCCAGCTCGCTCTGTCTGTGTGTCTGTCACTCTCAAAAATAAACATTAAAAACATTTTTTTTTAATTATTTGGAAGTAATTTCAAACTTCCAGACAAGTTAGAAAAATAGCACAAAGAACACCATTATATTATCGTTACCCAGATTTACCTACTGTTAACATTTTACTCCATTTTCTGTATGTTCCTGAGCTTGCTTTTACATGCACGTGCTTGTGTTCTCTCTCAGGTAAAGTTTTTCCTCCTGAACGATTTAATGGTAAGTTGCATTTATCATGGTCCCTTGCCCCAAAGAAGAAATTAAGTTTTAAAACTCAAACAGAAAAGTGGAATGTTGTACAACAGTTGTTTTTTTTTTTTTAATTTAACGTTTATTTATTTTTGAGACAGAGAGAGACAGAGCATGAACAGGGGAGGGTCAGAGAGAGGGAGGCACAGAATCTGAAACAGGCCCCAGGCTCTGAGCCGTCAGCACAGAGCCCGACGCGGGGCTCGAACTCACGGACCGCGAGATCATGACCTGAGCCGAAGTCGGCCGCTTAACCGACTGAGCCACCCAGGCGCCCCTGTACAACAGTTTTTAAGTCCCCAGTACGAGATTTTCAAGGATGGTAGCAGAGCCGTAAGGGGACTTTGTTAAGGTTGAGGCTTTCTACCACCCCTGGATGCCTAACCAATGTTAATCCTGGGGGTGGCCTTGACCCCAGCCAAAGAGAAAGGGGACACACACACACACACACACACACACACACACACACACACAGAAATATCACCCCTCTATTTTATTTTAGAAGGAAAAAGGTCCTTGAGGCAAACCAGCTATGTTGACAAGTGCCAGCCTCCATTTTCCTCAGCAAAAATTCGCCCAGGGTGATTCCGTAGGTCATCCTGTTCTAGAGAATACAGAATTCTGCTCCCTAACAATGCTACAGGGACAGTCCACTTTCAGAAACATCCCTTCTGCCTTCAAGCTCATGAAAATGTTCCCTTGTCCTTGAATTAAAAACATAACCACATAACTCCCCACATAAGGTAAGGGGCAGAATGCAGGACTACCTTTCCTGCTCTGGTAAACCTCAGAAAACAACAGGGCCGGGGATGGTGCAGTAAATACTCAGGATACCTCACTGCACCCTAACGCGAACTTGTCCCTTGATTTCCAAGGACTGTACGATAAGAATGAGTTGCAAGGGGGAATAAGTGGTATAAACTGACTGCGTTATTAATCATGCTACAAAGAAATGACTTTTCCTCCGACAGTAAAGCGTTTTGTACTCTTGGTAGTTACTAATAAACTTTTTAATGTAGGACTATATCCCCTGGAGATACACAGGCTTTCTTGTTTAAATCGCTTCCTTAAAATCCCTTTCTTAGAACGACTATAAAATCAACAGTATAGGGGCGCCTGGGTGGCGCAGTCGGTTAAGCGTCCGACTTCAGCCAGGTCACGATCTCGCGGTCCGGGAGTTCGAGCCCCGCGTCACGCTCTGGGCTGATGGCTCAGAGCCTGGAGCCTGTTTCCGATTCTGTGTCTCCCTCTCTCTCTGCCCCTCCCCGTTCATGCTCTGTCTCTCTCTGTCCCAAAAATAAATAAACGTTGAAAAAAAATTTAAAAAAAAAATAAAATAAAATAAAATCAAGAGTATAAAATGGAACACTTTTCTTAGGTGAAGAATTAAAAACAAACACAAACAAAAAAACCACCCACTTGAAAACAAACACCAAAGAAGCAGAAACTGGATACTGAATATGTACACAGTTCTTTAAATCAACAGTACTCTCCATTATCAACGTAACTCCAAGGTAACTCCAAGGTAACTCCGATAAAGTGAGTCTGAAACAGTTACCTTGTACTAAACTCCCCCCACGCACTTTTTTTTTAAAAAGAGAAGTGCACGTGCATAATTCAGCACAAAGGCAGAGTCAAAGTGAAAGGAACCTAAGAACCAGCAGGTTTACCTCAGAAGCCTATCTGCAAAGTATTTTGAGAGTTAGAGTTTTATAAAGACACGTATAAACTTGCAGTTCATCAGACAACAGTCTGGCAAAGCAATGAGGAAAAGAGAGGTAAGAATACGAAAACCCCTGGCGTGGCTCTGAGGGAAATAAAAGATTCCGGGATCTACCTTGCTTGGACGCCCTCCGCCGAATCTTCATTTTGGGGAAGGAAGGCCATGAGTAGTTAAAGGGGGAGTCCGAGTCCGAATCCATCTTTTTGTTTTGCTTAAATCAACAGATTCAACAGGAGAGACTCAGGAAGAACTGTGGGCGTCCCCCGCCAGGAGGCGAGTCTACCGTGTGATGTCAAAGGAAGGAATGGGGCTGGGTGAAAAGCTCCCGAACACGGGGAGGGAGAGGCAATAAACGTTTTGCTTCCTTCAGGCGTCCAGGCATGTAGACTGAGAAGGAGGCTGTAAATATTAAAGCCAAACGAAGGAAGTGAAAAAGGAGAGAGAGGCAGCTAAGGGTTGTATTGGTACATCACAGTCCAGTTATTCAAAAGGTCACTGGGAGCAAATGAATCATTAACTCCCCTCTTCTTGTGGCTGGAAATGGAAATTAAGAAGAAAGGTAACTGAATTCAAAGAGAGCGGCCTGTGCTTCAAGAAAAGCCTCCAAATGCACTTGTTTTGTTCTGGAGCTGGAGTATCGTTTACAGAAAAGCCACCTTGCACAGTGATGTAAAGGTTGAGGTTTACAAGTGTGGACAGCCAGAGAGCTCAGTACACAGGCAAATAAAAGCCATCACACTCAAGGCGAGGTGTTTTCCAGAGCAATCTGTTCTTTCATAGCATTGACAGTGTCGGCAGATTTTCAGATTCGAGGGCCGAAGCAACTCTGATAATTCATTTAACAATCTAGTCTCCCTACACTTTTAATGCTACAGCAGCTGGAAGCTTTTACTGTTACAGAAAATTCTACTCATTAAATACATGCAAAGTCCTCTACTAGTGTTCAGCACAATTGGGGCATTCTTCAGCTGTCACTAAGTTTGGCTTCAATCTTAAGGATTAGGGTACCTTTAGAGCTTGGCTCTAACCCTACAGTCCCTCTCAACAGAGCTAGTGACTAAGTTACCACAAACCAAGAGTTCCTACAGGTTCCGCTTAACGAGCCTCTGGTAATTAGCATTCAGTACAAGCCCATCACCACCTCCACCTAAACCGAACACTACGCAAAGTCACTTCCCGGCTCTCCACAAGCACACCGATACATGGGACCCACAGAAGTTCAAGCAAAGCAGCCAAGAGCTGTGGCAGAAAAAAAAAAAAAAAAAAAACACACGCCAAGTCTCAGAGGGGAGCCTCTTCTAAGCATTTATTTTGTATTACTGATAGCAGGAAATGGTGTGTTTTCTTTTGTGATGTCATCTGCCACCCAAATAAACTAAGACTGTGGAAACGATATGAAGGCCTGCATGACTCTGCAGATCTGAAGCATAGCAATAGGTGTCGTAATTAATATTCCTTTTCACCACAATTAATTCCCAAATTGTTGACTTGATCATGCCACGCTGTCAGAAAGAGATGTGTAATCTGTTCCATAATAGCTAATCCTGTCTGATTGGGTGGGGAGTAGGTGAGAGGGCCAGATGGAACTGGATCAAGGGGAGAAACCACTTAATTTCCAATTCAAATCAAATTAGAATTACATGAATCGTGGTTGTGTTTTTATATGGTTTGCTACATAAATACCACATACAAATATAACAAAATGCAACTAGGAGACAGTTGTAAGCATTACAACGGAGTCAAAATAAACATTAATACATGTTTTACTTCGTGGCCTTTTATTTGAAAAATACTTCTCTTAATTAGCTAGGTGCAATTCTAAGAATAAATTATTCTCAAGCCTTGTACCAGGTAAGAGAGTTTTAGTCCACATGGATCTTGAGCAAGAAAATAAAATCTTGAAGGTGAGTGTTTCTATTCATTCTCTAAGTTTTAAACCTTAGAAACGTGCCAGGGACACTGTGGGCATATGATGAATGAATGATGTACACTTACTTAACCTGTGGATAGAGAAGCTTTACATGTCATTCTGTAGTATGTTTAATATCCTGATTGAAAATATGTATTTAAATTTTTTTTTTAATCAGCTGTAGGTGATACACAATGTTATATTAGTTTCAGGTGTAGAAGACTGAATGAACACTCTTGTTATGCTCAGTAGGTCTACTATCTGTAGCTACCATACAAGGCTATTATAGTACCATTGACCATATTCCCTACGCCACAGAAAATAGATAGCTTCACAAGACTTCCTGTAGCTTTATGTTAAGTGTTTTAAAGTATCGTTGTGTTTTACTCATCACAATAGTATCTTTATTTGACAAAATAAAACAACAGTACTGGTGAGTGGACAAAGCCCACTGTTCTCCAAGGTTCCGGGCAATACTTCGGATGTACATAGATCCTTGGATGCCTCAGAGAGGTCTGTAGACCAAAGAAAGGGAACGTCCACCTGTTCAGACAATCATCAAACTGAAATGAAAGTGTTGGACCAGGAAATAATATTATCTTTCTCATTTGCCATGCGTGGTTAAGTTTTAGAGCCACTTAACCAGGATCAATCCCGGGTCAACAAACTACTAGAGCTGCTCCCTTCTTGACCATTGGTGACAGATAAGAAGAAAGTCAGGACAATCCCAAGAGAAATAGGATAAAGTCTTTGTAAAACACATTTCTAGTAGCTGAGATGCCAAGTAGAACCATCTTAATCTAGTTTTCCCCAAAGCACAGTCCTTGGTGACCAATTACTTATCACTTGATTATTGATATGAAAATTATTCTGACAATAAAATAGAACTACCCAAAAAAATACACGTGAGAAGCCTAACAATATTTTCTATTCTTATTTGATGCACCAATATTTTTAAAGAATGAAATTACTGCCACTGACCAGCTATATAACATTGAGTTAACACATAAAATGAAAGAGAAAATATTGTTTGCTTCCCTCTATTTTTAGGCCAGTTCATTTTCTTGCTCACCAAAGAACTTCTCCCAAATGTGGGTCATTTATCATGTGTCCTGGAGTACTCAACTTTGTCCCCTGTTATACCAATATGACTGCATTTAAATCAATTCAAGACGTTATTTAGATCTCGTTCACATTCAATGGCTTAAATTCTTTGCTTTCTCTGGCTGATTCCAACTGCAGGTGGAGGAATTCAATGGTAGGTCCCCCAAGGGCCACTTTCTCACCCGCTATCATACAACTATTATGATGCCAGGGTGTGAATGATTTCATCAGCCTTACTGTGCCTCCTGTAATTAGAAAGTCCTTTGTTTAGAAAATTACCTCCACTGGGTGACAAACATGTAGGGCAGATGCTGCTGAAGTTTTGGCTCTCTGCAAGACCCACAGAGAAGGGAAGCTTCCCTTCATTCTCCTCGTGTCATGACGGCATGCCACCTACCTTTCAATCTTGGTAAAACTAATCTTCCTCAGAGGGTATTTATATTTTGTTTATTTTTGGGACAGAGAGAGACAGAGCATGAACGGGGGAGGGGCAGAGAGAGAGGGAGACACAGAATCCGAAACAGGATCCAGGCCCTGGGCGGTCAGCACAGAGCCCGACGCGGGGCTCGAACTCACGGACCACGAGATCATGACCTGAGCCAAAGTGGGATGCTTAACCGACTGAGCCACCCAGGCGCCCTGTGTCATACTCATATTCTTAAGCAGTCAGAAGCTGAAAAGAAAAACCATGGGTTTGGGGAGCCATTATGTATCTAGGCTTAGACAGTGGCTCTGTCACTTATTTAGCAACCCTAACCAAGTTACTTTCCGACCCTCACTTGTTTCATACAAAAGGAGGTCATAACGTCCATACTACAAAGAGTTGTGAGAATCAAATGGGGCAATAGTAAAGAACTTAAGTTTTCATTACGTTCTCTTAAATATTAAATAAAGCTTCCCTTTCGCTGTATTTCTCTTCTACATTCTAGACACTGAAGTATTCTTATGTTATCTCCGGAGTGATAGCTTTTTCTAAACTGAGACCTGCCAGTGTACCTGGCTAGCTCAGCCAGCAGAGCATTTAGACTCTTAAGGTGAGACACGCTAATGTGCAAAGAAGTTCCCAGACAATCACACCAAGACTGAAAGAAAAGGAAGATTTTTTTTTTCCTATTATGCTCCATTGTCTAACAACCAGAGACCACAGTTTCTAACACTGCTAGACAGCATTCTGGGGGAAGTCATTAAAAAACACAAAGAACTGGAGGCAAAAACCCCTAATGTCAGGACAAGCCTACCCTGGCGCACTTCAGCCAGAAGAGGCAATGTAATGGAGCCTGGGATGGTCAGAATCTTCCTCAAAATCCTTTAGAAGGCACCGTGTCATCTGTTGGCGTTCAACACAAGCAGTTCTTTGTTGGAGAACATTGTGACTCTGGTTATGCACCAAGTGAAATGCTTGGCTCTTACTGGGAGGCCATACTATACAGAAAATAAGGATCTTTAAAAGCACAGCTCCTATCCATGGGCTCAAGATGTGCTCTGAGAAGGACAGTGGGCACAGGACATTCACATCGGCAGTGTCACACTCAGGGACATGGCATCATGAGTGGAGCCAGCCAGACATTTGAATTACAATTTTTCTCTCTACTTCTGTATTGTGTATAAACAGAGCCCATAAAATTGATTTCCTATAAAAGAGACATCAA